GTGTGTGAGTTCTGTCATAATTTTCAAATATTCATTTACAATAAACGCAAATTTACTGCAAAATTTATTTGGTGCATGTAAATTGACAGGTATCTGCTTTGGCCTGGGTGTCTCATGCTGTCGACACAGATGTGTTGGTAGTATATTTTCACTAGTGTAAGCAAATGAGAACGCTAGGTACTAATGCAGACAGGTATTCATGTGAGGAGTTCAGCATGTACCTGTGTGCCCACAATACAAGAAGCCGTGACACGGATAAAGAGACATCAACTTCCAATTTGCTTGTAGTGCAAATGTCAAGTGCATTCTGAGGTCTGAGGTGAAATGGCAAGACCGTCTACATCGTCGTCTAAGAGTTCAATTTGAGTTTAGCTTACATTCCATTCCAGAAATTACTCGCAGGAAGAAGAGTCACCTTCCATGCTACCAACGCCTGATATGCCATTTGACATCCTCAGGTCAGACAAATGTGGTACGGGTGCGTTCCATCCCCATACAAATAAACAAACAAGTTCAAACAAGCAATTTCACAGCCTAAATTATCCTCCTTCATCCTGGCCTTCTATTGATTGATGGTTCATTCCATTAATGTTGGCTAAGATTCGATCATTTTATAAAAATATTTTCAAGGATAAAGTGGACTTGCCATTTACACGGCAGAACATTTACTCTGTTTCCGGTTTAATTGACCAGATCAGACTGGGTTTATCTCTCCTTGGATAAAATTTTGCGGCAACCTAGGGCTCGCCTTCAATTTATTGTTGGCTCTTTTCGTTAACATTGCCTAAGCTTAGTTCATGTTAAAGAGAATTTTTAAGGACAGAGTGGAGTTGCCATTAGCATTCGATGATATTATTTGTTTCAGGCTTAATTAACTAGAGCAGCCTGAACTCACCTCCAGTTGGATAAATAAAGCGCGAAGCTGAGAGTAGCCTTGCAGTTTTGAAGGCCTGTTTCCTTACTATTGTCTAAGTTCATTTTATTTCACGGAAATTGTGATGAAATGAAGGCTCACTTGCCAATGGCCTTCGATTTAATTAACTGTGCATTCGGGTTTATTAAGTGACCTGCCTAGGTCAATTCATCCATGATTCAGTTGTCATTATGCCTGAGGCAAGCTGTGTGCTGCAAGATGGTCTTTGCAAGAGTAAATACAACTTCTTTGGTAATGCAGTGGACTGAGGCAAAGAAGATGTGTCTACAACAATGGGATACAATCTTTAGACCCGAAGTTATTACTGTCGACATTGCGAGCAC